AATTTAATTATAGAAAAAAATCTTTTAATAAGATTATATAGAAAAATATTATAAAATATTCTATATACAACTCAAAGTGAGTATTAATAGGTTGTTGAACTATCTGAGCATTCTCACTTTTTGTGATAATGAGATAACATTCTATATAAAGAAAGCTATTCACAAGATTACCAGAAATAATTTTCTTCGTATAGACTGTTATCTCATTATCACAAAAAGTGAGAATGGTTAGTTGGTTCAACAACCTATTAATTAACTTTGAGTTGTATATAGAATACTTTATAATATTTTTCCATATAATCTTATTAAAAGATATTTTTCTATAATTAAATTACTTATACTTAGTTACTACTTTTTAAAATACATTTTTAAAAATTCGATGATGTGGCATTTTGTATGAAGAAAGTTATTTCTGGTTTTTTATTTTGTTACTAACAGCTCTTTTTGGTATTATATCTATAATTTCTAAAATAATTCCTTTTTAGTTTTTCCAAACTTAAATAATTATATATGGATGTAATATAGATTTGGAGGAAAACAATACAAAACCTTTTATAAAAGGTTACATGATTTTCTAGTTTAAAAATCCAGAAAATAAGAAATCAAAAACAAAATGTGGAGTAGCATAATTTTAATTAACAAATTTTTTAATCAAATTTAACATATATATTTTTATTTCATTTAACATCTTATTTTCAGTATAATCTTGTGACTAAAATTTAATTCACAGAAAAGCAAATAAATCTTAAAATATATTTTTAAAATATTTATCCTTAAATTACCAATAAGTATTACAAATAAATTTAGAGAAATTTAAAAAAATGCCACTTTTTAAGTGCCACTTTACAAAAATGCCACACTATTGAAATCTTTACAAAAATGCCACTTTTTCAAAATTATTTTGTCTTTATATTATTTATATTTGGGTTAATTATGTTCTATTAGGGTTTAGTTTTGAGTGTTTAGGGTGTTTTAGGTGTCAAAACATTTTTTAGGGTTTAGAATTTTAAGATATAGGCTTTATAAATCTATAATTAGTGGCATTTTTGTAAATGGACATCCCTAAGTGGCATTCTTGCAAATGTGCACACAAAAAGTGCTATTTTTGTAATTGCCCCATAAATTAATCGGTTAGTACAATATTGAAAATTTTATAAACAAAAGTGTGATAAATCATATATAATACGAAAATGGCCATTTTAAAGAGAAATTTTGAGAAATGCCACTTTTGAAGTGTCATTTTCAAAATGCCACATTTTCAAAATCTTTGCAAAAAATACCACTTTTAAAATTATTTATTCATTATATTATTTATGTTTGGGTTAACTATGTTGTATTATGGTATAGTTTTGAGGATTTAGGGTTTGTTAGGGGTCAAAACATTT